ATATATAAAATTGAGAATTATTATTTTTAATTAAAAGTTATTATTAAAGTGACTATTTTGCTACTGGAAACGTGGATTTAATTTAACAGTGACATAAAGACCATCTAAGTTTTTGGCGCGGAACTAAATAAGCGACATGTTTTGGAAAATGGCGAATAATCGCAGTTTTGCAAGTCGATTCGATGGAGCTAAATACGCAATATCGTGATATTGATCGTACCTTATAAATAGTGAACTTTGTAACAACGTGTGCTGTAATAACAATCTCGAATGTTACAGCGCTTATAACTGCAATTACTTTTCTATTATATATTTTATGAATCTTTCCCGCTTTAAAATCAAGGCATTTTATTATTAGTTACTCATTTTCTAAACAACGAAAAGTCTCGATGTGAAAATTGAAGATGATTCTCTTCCTGCAAGCGAATTTTGTTCGAAAGGATTAACGCGAGATCCTCTAACGATAAAGTTTCCCCGAGTCTCAGCGCAACTTTATTATTATCGTAAGTGAAGAATCTAATGACAAGGGATATACTTTAAATCTATGAAGACACAAAACTCTTCTTCCTAATAGAATACATTGGAAATATTTGGCGCAAATACAAATTACTTCTTTGAGAATTTGAATTTCCGTCATTCGAGGATTTCGAGGACAACGCCACCATTTAACTCTCTCTCTCTTAACACCTTTCTCACGCGCGTATATCAGCCTGTGACGTCACGAGATTCGTTATCGACATCGCGCGGTGAAAAGACGGATAACGGGCGTTTCTATTCCGGTCGATTCGGCCGTGTCGTTATCTTGCGGCATTAGGGCTGAAAACTAGTTCGGAAAACCCGGTCGGCGACCCACGTGGCCTATTGATTTTCTTGTCGTCCGACACGCTCTCTCTCTCTCTCCTTCACTCGTTGTCGTTGATGTCGTTAGAAACTGACGGCCCTTTCGCCATCGCTGTCGGTTAACGTCACGCGGATACGGGTGCTCTCAAAAGAGTACACGACTCGAGGGTATTCGAGGACACTCGAAAGCACGTGAGAACCAGAGAGCCGCGCAACTCTTTACGCGATACGTGAGTCGGAAGTCCATCACGCGTACATAATATGACTTATTAAATCGCGCGAACAGGACCGACGACTCGTTCAGGCTTCGTCCTCGTAATTTTCTCAATGAACGCGGCCCACGCCGCATTTCTGCTTGAAACTATCGCGAAATCTTCGTCGGATGTCACCCGGAAACTGTCCCCTCTCGCTGCACAGTTTACGACGTTCGCCAGTGACACTTGAGTTCGCATCAGCTGTGGCTTAGTTAGCCAGATATTGATGGAAATTTAATTTTCGCGAGGTACATACACAGAAAAAGAAAGAAATATCAAATCACAAGTATACTCAAATTAAGGCGTTCATTGTGTTATATATACGCAACAATCTCTGATCTTATAAGAATTTGATAATCTATTTGGTAATTTTTTTGGTTGAACTATATAAAATAACTTTAGGCAATTAAGTTTTCTTCGTTTAACGCAATATAATCTCATTTCAAGATTTTATATTGAATCTAAAGATATTTTCAAACCAAGAATATTCTTTTTTCTATGCATAGATATTATTATTTGTTAATAACGAAATATCAAGGGTCTTAATTTTAAAACGATGAAAAGCCTAGTTGATTCTACAGTCACGAATGCGTAATATTGCGCAATTCTAGTTCACACCAAATGTCCTTCTGATAGTCTCTCCCCTTTTACGCCAAAAATAAACCCCGCGTCGAAAAAGCATCGATATACATCGCTGTCAATATGAAAGCTTCATTTACATATCTTCTCTGAATAATAACAAGTTTTTAGAAATAATATCTATGCAAATACTCCTAAATGATTACGGTCGTTTTAAACGGAAATTTTATGCACATAGTAATACAAAAAATTCTAAAAATAAAGATTTAATCCGACTCCAGCCCTGTTTTATATTTTCACGAGAATACTAGCCTTCTTCGCCGATTGCGGGAAATTTCTATTAACGTTCAATGTATTTCAAGAGCAGGAAACTCTGAAATTATCTCATTTGTAACAAACCGACGCATTTAAATGTCGATTGCCGCTGGTCATGTATAGTTGGGCTATTTTAGGCTCTTTACATAAAGTTGAGATCTGAATTAATGGGAAACGAGGCGATTCGTCATTCTCACGTCGCGAAAGACATATGTCATCGTTTTTTCATGTGAAAGTAATCGATGACTCCGGTGTCTTTGCTTTTACCCCAGGCACGGTTTAAGTACAGTTCGCTTCAGGCCTAAGCGGGAAGCAGACAGAGGTCGGTTTAGGATCGATAGCAAACCATGATGCAACATTCGGCCAGACTTTCATAGGTACCATGGGCTCGTTGTGACCTTAGTCAGCACACGCCAAAACCGCAATCGAGACTCTTTTATCAGTGCCAGAATATCGAAAAAAAAAATTCAAAAATTCCCAGATATAAAATTATGCAAAAACAGCAAAACTACAGACGACACACTGAAAGAAAAATTCTTGGTAAACTTGTGAGATGCATTTAGTAATAGTTCTTTTTAAAATATTTGATTATTATTACCAAATATAATAATAATAACAAAACATTTTGTAATAATTATAAACATTTAAAAAAAGCAGATTTTGCGTTTAGTTGAAGTTGTTTCACCAGGGGGCTTGGTCACATTAACCAAGCCTGGATTATTATAACCAAGTCTTTTTTTCAGTGCAGACGATTAATACTCTAAATTAAATTAAAAAAAAAAAATGTAAGAAAATTCAATATTATTTATTCACTTTATAAATTTTTAATCTCATTTAGGATTAATTTATTTTACTAGTACTTTTATTTAAATAAATATCGTTAAGTTAAAAAATTGAAAGAAAATGACGAGATACGATGCGTTACGAAAATCCGTTAGATTGACGAAACTGTATAAGAATGAGGCGACCGTTTCGTGGAACGTTGCCGGGATGTCTGGTCCAAAGTGGAGAACATTAGGAACCGGTATCAGACTAGGGGTCCTAGATAATGCCTGTAAGGCTTGGACAAAGCCTCTTCGAACGTTCTTTCACGAACGCACACACACACACACACACGCGCGCGCGTACGTGTTTGCATACGTGTATATATACGCACGAAAAATGGAACGAGAAATGCCGGTAGGTAGTGTACGTACACACGATTTTGCACGCGTGTTGCGTGTGTTTCTCGGGCAGCTGAAGCAGTACGAGTGCCAGCCTGACGCATTACGGCTTTGGATCAAGGGGATTTTGCGACGCGTAAAACTCGCGAAGCACAACGTTAGAATCTCGTGCAAAATCACGGCAGTAAATATTCACGACGCCACGTACGGAAGCCTGCAGGTCGTTTTAAAAAGTATTTGCAGAATATAAATGGTTTTATATCATCACACAGGGCACTAATTACAGCGAGACGCTAATTTTTCTCCGGAAAATCGGACAAACATCCTTATAATTTTTTTTTACGCGTTTCGTAGTTTTGCCATTGTGATGTATTTCTTGCTTTCAGCTCTCGCGCTTATTTCCTCATTTCTGCGGAGATCTTTCTCTCTGGGAAAAAAAATGGAGCGTGCGGAATGTATCGCAAGTTTAAATTGCGAGGCCACGTGATACTCGAGACATATCATATTGCGAGCGGGAAGATACGTCAACTGATTAAAGACACGGGCACGTGACGATTCGGAGGTGTGAACAACCCATTTCCAACAATTGACTGACCCACACGACTGATATATTAGAGCTAGAGGGACATTGACTTTAGGACTCGTGTCAATTTGTATTTTGTTTCAAGAGCAGCCAAATATTCGGAGTAGCCGCTTGCTATATTTGACAAAAAGTTAATAATGTTAATAATATATGGAAACTCCAAAAGCTAAGCTTCTTATACTTAAGCTCCATAAATAAATTTTACTGACTTTCGCCTTCTTTCTCATATTATTTATATATTTTTTTATCAACTTTAATGTCAACTTTTATGAGAAAAAATTGAATATTTAGAAAAGAAAGGGAATTTCTCTCTTAATATTCTTGGAGAGTTTCCGTAGTCGAATAAACGAATTGAGAATCGAGAAAATATACCGTGCATTGTCTAGTGGCACGGCAAATAAATGTAAAAAATTGTATCAAGTGGATTGCAAAAATAATTCTCCGAAGACTAGGGAACCCTGCAAGCAAGTTCCGACGTGCCCCAACGAGCACGAAGTACGGATTTGCTCTATTGGATTTCCATTGAAAAAGAAGCCTCGCAATTTTCTGTGCCTCTTCGCCGTTTTTATTTTGCTTCAAGAATTTATGCTTACCCTCGCGCCATAATAATAATTCCACCTGTCATTGCATTTGCTACGTGAATAGAGCTTCGGTCAAATCTACTAGGATCCGTTTAAATTCCGACGCTGTAACTTCTCACATTCACGAAATTATATCCGCGTTCAGTCTGCGTAATAAAAAACTCTCTCCAATTACCAATTTATAAGTATTAATAGCGAAAAAGGATACGATCTCCTTTGGTTGCTTCCTCCGATGATCCTTATCCGTTTTCTGGAATAAGGAAGCAACGAATAAGATAACAATTTTTTTATCAACTCTCTAATGTTACATTTTTATGAGAAAAAAGTATTTAGAAAAGAAAAGGAATTGTTCTCTACATTTTTCTCGGCCAACTAAATCGTATATTTGCATCGCATAAATACACAGAAGAACGCTTGACGTTTCCTGATATTCTCCGAGGAAACAGCCTGATGTATTTACGAGTTTCTCATCCGGGAGTTCTGTGATAATACGGTCTAGGTAATCGAAAAGCGAACGATCGGCATATCAGTAGAATCAACGTGACGAGACGACATTGGCAGTGGTGAAGCGCGGTGTGGGCTCGCCAGTCGATCGGCGAATCGAACGATCACCAAACCAGAACAAAGTGGACTAAAGTAGAACGATGCTTAAAGTAACTTGTTTTTTTTTTTTAGAATTTCATATTAATGAGCACGATTAATGAGCGCACGACGGCAGGCATGCTGCACCAAAGAACAGGTTCTCGTCGAGACAGGTTGTTTGTCGGGTGACAATAAAGGTGTGTATCGATGATCGCGCGTACGATTGGCCAGAAGTCTGGCCCGATAAACGCCAGATGCGTGATAATGACGCAGAATTCTAATTAATTTCGCGGTTACGGGTGTTTACGACTCAATGCGACTCTCGAAAACGCACCTTTCCCCGTCAGTCTCGCGACCGCACCCGCGACGACGTAACGTCGTCGACTTCGATCACATTCGAGGTAAAGTTACGCGAAGCGCATGAATAAATGATAGAGCTACGTGTAAAGAAGCGTTATAACAGCAACCAATTTTTCTCGTTATAGTGAATTCGCAGATTCGCGGAAAGAATATGAAATTGGAGAAAACAAGACAGAAAACGAGATAGCATATAGGTAATAATAATATTATTATTTCGTCTCTGTGTCCTGTTATAATATTTGTAATCCGCTTTGGCCAATCGGGGAAGAACGCGAAGCGGAGAAAAGATCGTCTCTAGGATTCTCAGATTATAAATAAACAAGCAAACATCTTATTTTCAGACTTGGGTTTGTAACGTCGTTTCGTTTAGATGTGTCGCGATACATGGCCGTAGCTCACAAAGCTTTCCTATATTTTTTCCTGTTACGTCAAGCTGTGCTTATTAAACGTGAAGAGCCGTTAAACTCGCATTGTGTGTTTTGTGCGCCCGAGTAAGTGCTGTAAGTATTGCGCGAATCTCTAGGTAACATTAACGTAACAGTAAAAATTATATTAATAATAAGCAGCGAAATAGAAATCATAATTATGCCTTGTTAGAGGAGTCAGAATATTATCTGCTATATTAAGAAACACGTGCGACGTATACTTCTTAACATAGTAGATAATATTCTGACTCTTCCACATAATTGTAATTTCTATTTCGCTGCTATTATTATTAATATAATTCTTACTGTTACGTCATTGTTCTGTTATATGAAGAAACACGTGGTATTTCTTAATACAGCAGATAATATTACAAGCATAATTATGATTTCTATTTTACTGCTATTATTATTGATATAATTTTTACCGTTATGTTACCACAGCAAGAGAGAGAGAGAGAGAGAGATTCGCGTATAGCAGATAATATTAATATTACCACGGAATTTTTAATAACTCTCCTCCGTTCCAAATATCGACTCTGTTTTCGAGATCGCAGCCGTTTTATTCTTGCAAATTACGATACTTTTTTTTATTAATATCGGCATTTAAGGGATCGAAGCGCACATTTAATGTCTATATCATTCTGAAGAACCTATTATAAATCGTGCAGCTGACAAGGGCGACAAGGTCCAGCCAATTTTCTCGCAGGACGAACCTGTTGCCTGCTGTGTGTTATGAGAATCGCAATGTTGTCCGAGAAATTGGAGTAAGGGCGACCTTCCGTCCACGTGGAAACCTCGTCGATTCTTCTCCCCGAGATAAATCGACGCCGTTGGCTGTACGAAAGAATCGTGTTCTCAGTCGTTCCGCTTCGCGCGATTGTCAGATGCATTATTCAGGACGAGAAGTCTTTCGGGAGGAATTTCATCGGCCATGAAACACGGGATCGCAATTTATATACATGCGCGCCGTTCTATCCCGTTACTTAGAACCAATGAGACTCGCAACACGTTATCTGTGCCATGAACACATCAAAAATAAAGCGCGGAGATTCATTCTCCGCGGGTCTTTTTGACGTTTTCATGGCGCAGATAACGTCGCGTTATCTGCATTCTGCTAGGAAATGCTAATAACGCTACCGAAATAAGATGTTGGTCTTCAAATATCTCGTAATATCTCGCAAACAAAGATGCGCGAGCAAGAATTTTTGTTGCGTCGAGAGGAAATTTCTTCTGAGAAAAGAAACAAATCTTTAGGAGGTAAAGAACGTTAAAAATACGCGGAAAGAAGGAACGAGCCTGCAGCGATTTACTTACGTGATTCTTGCGTGACGGGATACGATCTCCTATAATACAATCAACGATTTGTTATTCTAGCAGCGCGCGGAAAATCAGGGTAGAGGGGTTGTCAACTCGTTACATAAGACATTACACTATCGTTGCACGTACACCTAAACAAATTGCGACACTCTTATCCGCACGATATCTCTAAGGCGGGACTGTTGAATGGAAAAATGGGTACCCTAATAGATCCTGCTGAACGTAACAGCGACAAAAAATAGTCACTGATAACATAAATTACTATAAACTTTACAAAACTTCGAGCGATCTTTTCGGTTATTCTGTCGCGATGACGAAAAAGAAGTTAAATACAAGTCGATAAGACGCATATACGGGCAAAAGCACGTATACGGGCGGTTATTTCACCGCGCAGCAGCTTTTGAAATATGTAAGAAGAACGTGTGTTTCCATGTACATTAATTTGTCAGTATTCACCATGGATTGATTTTAATTGCACGGCGATAAAACTGATTTAAATTGCATTGCGATGTCGAAAAATACTCGTATATTCGAAGTAAGTTCGAGATATCGTGACAATAGGTTCGCTCGTAAGTTCATTTATTCTACATACGTCTGTAAAAAATACATCTGTAGGCTGCCAACATTGATTCTATTTTAGGCAATGTTACAAATGTCACGTAAAATGTAAGAAAGAAATTTGACGAATGCAAGATTGGAAGATACATGGTTTGTTGTGTGTTTCAGAAAGAATGTCGAAGTCAGGGAGCATCAAAGATGGCGAGAAGGGGCCCTACGACCCGGTCCCTACCGCCGAAAAGGCTAACGACGAGATCAAGCTGGAGGCGAAAATGTCACTTCTCAACGGTGTCACCGTCATTGTCGGTTCTATCATCGGTTCCGGCATTTTCGTCAGCCCGACGGGTGTCCTCAAGTATACCGGAAGTGTGAACGCGAGTCTTCTCGTTTGGACGGCGTCCGGGATTTATTCCATGGTATACGCACAATCTATCACTTTCGTTTCACTGGAAAACAATTTTTCAATTTTATCGTTCTGCCTATTTTTTTACTTACAATTCATTGATTTCTCTGTTATACCTGATGCCAATGTATATTGATGTAATTAAAGTGGCAGCAAGTATCTCGATAGATTTACAAATGAGAAACGATTCATTAATAACGATAACAGTAGTATCTGTACATGAATAAAATTAATTCGCATTGTATTCGGAATTTGCGACGTGCCGGGGCTCATGCGCCGTTTCCTCGAGTACCGACATAAAAATTCAAATTAATACAGATGCAAATCAATCCTGGCCAACACGTTTCAAATGCAAGAAGTTACACATGTATATCAAATTAATTTCTTGTTATACTTGCACGTTTTGCGACAGATAGGGGCTTACTGCTACGCCGAGCTCGGCTGCATGATTAAGAAATCGGGGGCGGATTACGCGTACATCATGGAGACCTTCGGGCCCTTCCTGGCGTTCATCAGACTGTGGGTCGAGTGCATGATAGTACGCCCTTGCAGCCAGGCCATCGTGGCCTTGACTTTCAGCGTCTACGTCCTCAAGCCGCTTTTCCCGGACTGCACGCCGCCCGATGACTCCGTAAGAATGCTCGCCGTCTGCTGCATATGTAAGTAGGTGACGAAAAAATCGTAGACTCCGCGGCGCGACACAAGCGTAAATGCCAGTTCGGAATGCCGGAGCTCTCTATTAGTAATATATCAGCGAAATAAAGCAAAGCGAAAGAAAATTATGTTTTTCTTTAGGTTCACGGGGAATCAAATAAACATTTCGATCCACGAAATAAGTCTAATATCAAATACATGCTTATTAAAAGAATTACGCACAATTTACGTATTTAGTGCAGAATCGATACGCTTAGATTTTTCTTTTTCTATAGAAGCTGAATGAAAGAGGATTTCGTAATATTGTTCGCCAGCGTAGATTGAATCCTACGTTCGTAGAATTTTCTCCGTTCGCGCGACTCCGTTATATTAATTTATTCCGCGTAGTGCGTAGCAATTAGTATCACGCGACCGAACGTGGGTTTCGCGATCTGCATGCGGGGAAACGCAATGTGTGCGATTAAGTTTATCGGAGATACTTGTTGCACGCGATTGCAATCAAAGCGGGCGCGACGCCGCCGCTCCTATGCGACGAATAATCACGGCACAATACCGCGGCCGAGGATTGAACCTCGCTGGCTCGTGCGCGTCCGTCAGTAATAACGGGTTTCAAACGGGCCGACGTAACGTAGCCCGCAGAAAATTCGTCTTTCCCACAGCAATCGTGCCCTTGATTGCGTAGAATGTCATCCCGGGTGACTTTGATCCCCCGTCTATGATCCTCCGCTCTTCCTCTCTCGACCGCGCTCCGTCCCGCAGCGCCGTTCATCTTCCAACTTGTTCTCAGGGCCCTTTGTATCGTCCGTCCCGAAAGACAAGTCCGTCTCGTCGAGATACCATGATTTATCATGCGTCGGGTCTAACACCCGATTAAATTAATTTATTTCTAATTCATCTTCCTGAGAGATTCGTCCCTTCATTTATTAATTTTTATTTTACGCCCGTAGATTTTGTCTTCAACGTTCAGTTTGTTTTCTCTTTCTCTTGATTTCAACTGAGAACTTGATTGAAAAATTGAATCGCGAGCTTGTAGCAGATCTTTAGCACAAATCTTATTCGGATAAAAATAATAATTTTTATTTCATTTTTTTAAATCGACAATCGTTTTCTTTGTGAGTTGATTCGCTGATTGTAAATTGTGATCGTGAAGTAAATTAGTCTCGCAATATCTATTTTCCAATATGTCTTTTTTATCCATACAAATTATAAAAAGATATTCTATGTTTCCTTATTTAGAATGAAGAAATCGTATTGGTCGTTAATTTGCTGCTTTTTCAGTATTATTTGCAAGATGTATATCTTTAATATTTCATGACTGCACATATTTTTTTCTTCAAAATGTATGTAAAGCAAAATGAAACCTATATATATATATATATATAGCTAATTATAATTAACCCTTCGCAGAACAAGTGGAGCTTTCAAGACCCACTCGATATTTCCATTTCGAATTTTATGGAGATTTTACAGACTCATAAAAAAAAACTAAACAAGAATCATATATAACGGTATAAATAGATTCTTAAAGCCTTTGAAAGTGTACTTGAATTTTTTCAGATTTTTTATGGCACCATTACAGCTTGAAAATCTTAACTGGCGTAAAAGACCCACTTGTTCGACGAAAGCAGCAGAATTACACATATTCTGCGAAGGGTTAACGATAAATAAATATAAATCGCCATTTTCTTACAAGAACTCGCATAAGTTGACACAGTTAGCAACAACTAGTAAATACAAAAATAACTCTGATTTTTATAGGCAACGAGATGATTCGGCTAACACCTTCGAGCAAAAATTTATAACGAAAATATAAAGTATTTTTAAGCAATGAATAAAAGATTGAAGGATCTTTGCAGCTTTCTCTTGATTTTGCTAGAATCATTTGGATAAATGTCGCGCAAGTAAATTCTCATTGCAAGAGAAGCGCGTTTTCGTACGAAAAGAGAAATGATTTACCGAAAGCTTTTCCTCACTTATACGGCGACTTATTTGCCAGAACGTACGTATTACTCGGGAATTTATGATGAAACCACTTACGCGTATCCTCGAGGAAGCTGCGCACGTACACGGAATTCCCTGAGCAGTAGAGATCGACAATATTCTAACAGCCTTGAGCTTCCCTACGCCATGCATTTCGCCCTTGACGTTTTGTTTCCTCCGCTCATTTTCCAGAAAGGATTCAGCTATTCTTTTCGCGCTGCAAACAAGCGCGGCTCTATATACGCCGTTAGTTGTCGACACAGTAAATTACGAACAAGACATAAGAGTATTTAAGAAAGATACAACCTTCGAAATAATTTTCCGAAGTATAATACAGCGTTAAAAAGAAAGGATAGGAGAGCTAAATTAATTTGTAATTTACTAAATTTAAAAAAACAATCGCTCGAGTTAAAAAGCACGAAAGAAAGGTTCTTTTGATTTTTGCGTAAAATTATATGAGAACGCGAAATTTTACATGGCATCGTGCTATTCTGTTTAATATATTCGTTAGACGTGAGTTTTTGTTGACGCGAATATGAAAAACGGCACGTTCTTCGCGAGACAGAATACAAAAATATACGAAATTATATGAAATTCAAATTAATGTATCCCCTTTTTTAAACCAGCGATAATGTAGCATTGTAGCAAACCGTAATTCGCATTCTTTATATCGATGCGCGCAATAGTAATGATACCTTCCCCGATGCCGAGACACTCCGCTTTCCCTCTCCCACGGCGTGGAAATCGTGAGCGATTATGCATATACCGTGATTTTTATTCCCTTTCAATTTCCGCGAGCAATCGCGGGAGAGACTCAGATTCCACATCTCTGCACGATCGAATGCCGGTTAATGACAAAAAAATTCGTTCACGGTCGCCGAAGGAATAATAAACAACCGTCACGGGACGGGGCGTATTCTCGCGGAAATTCGAGGACGCACGCAATTTTTCGCATGTTTTCCCAACTGTAACGTTCACTTTTTTCTGCATTTTTGAAGCGAGCATTAGATAAGACTATTTAATAATTATTCATTGCAAAAAGACAATTAAAGGAATGTAATTTTTTCTTTAATAAAGATTAATGTTACGCGATATAAATATAATACATATTTTTAGAAACATTAAATTATGTAGTGCATTTCAACATTTAGGCTCTATAAAAGATTAAATATCAATTATATATTAATAGGTAATGTTGAGAGATAACTAATATTTAATCAATAATTAATAATTATCTGTGAAATTAATAATTGATAATTGTATTTGCATGCAGTTGTTGAAATTGTCTGGATATCACCGGGACTGAGCAGTGTGTTCTTTTTAATAGCTCCAATTACAAGATACATCGAAAGATTTGTATAGGATACACGGATGAAGAAAAGTCTATTTTTAACGAATTCATTCTGCGGGCGAAGAGATACGTCCACGAGTAAGCGTATCGTGTTCCTTGCGGTCGCTTGACCGCGCATTTCTTTTGCTTCGGTATCACCCCTGCAGATCGCGTTACAGACACGCAAATGTAATTTGCATTTCAATCATTTTCCCGGGAGACAATTGACAAAGCATTTCCTCGTAATAAATATTTACGCGACAGACAAGAGTAAGCACGTAAATATTTACGCGAGATACAATTTCACAGATTTCACTTGTTGCTCGTAATTAAAGAAAAATATTAGGATATGTAAATAGTAGGATATAAAAATATCTACCATATCTGATATATATATGTATACAAAAAATGCGAGCATGAAGTCGTAAAAATATTAATGTAAGCCAAATATTAGATAATATTAGATAATTCATTAACTACATAAAATATTACCGCAAAACATAACGCAAAGTGGGACTTAAACGAAATGAGAAATCTATCCATTATTAAAATCAGTTTACCATGTAATAATTAATCTGAGATACACCTTAAAGGCTTAAATAAATAAGTTGATATGATTAATATTATGATATCGAAATAATAAATTATAATAAGTACGATATTTTTTCAAACTGAATCGTAACGCTAGAAATTTTTTACATTCATAATGGGCACGATTTTCGAAGAATAACTTTGAATGATTGGAAGTCAGTCGATCGTCTCTCGCTTCTCTCGAAAGATAAATTATATTTATTCTAAATTTCACGTAAAATTGCTCAAGAAAAATGCAGTGAGATATAAAGTAAGGTGTGGTTATCGACAACGTCGTCCATAAAGCTTTTCCGTATATATTTGAGGAAAATAAGATTCCGCCGTATATAGAGCTCCATTTATTCCTTATTCCGATAAATCTTTCGACAAACCGGGAATAGTTTTTCCTATGAAGGAAAATGAAGCGCGAATACGCTTGTCCGACGACGGGGATGTCATTTGCGAATAAATGAACACGCGTCAAATTTTCAATATTTATGACAGGTCTACTGAGCGTTTCGAAGAAGATTATAACGAAGTAATAGGATTCCGTCTTCGCACAGTAATCTACAAAGCATAAATTGCAATCTCTTTCTCTCTTTCTAACGAAATTGTTTTCCTATTTTTTTATTGTTCCGTAATACTTTGTTCATTAGATCTCAAATTACATATTTTAAATAAAATTAGAAAAACATACTATTAACATTATTTAATTAATTAATAAAAGTAGGTTATAATTAATGACGAATTCGCATCATTAATAAACGATTCATTAATTAAGCTAGCTATTAGAGTGTTTGTTTCAAATATATGTAAAAAAGAATGCAAATCACATGGAAGATTCTATGATTTCCATGCAATTTATGTGTATGTATACATAATATATGTATATGTATATCCACACACACATGTGAATGTTTAATTTTGTTTTTTGTACGAATAAACGGAATCCATTTCCATTTTACGCTAGCAAGTGATAGAAATCAATGACTAGAACGAACTTGCGTCCGCATTTTCTCGCTTCACTCGTGTCAAGTGTAACGATTCGCGCGGTCGAGCCGATCCATTAATCGTTATTCCTAATTATAACTGACACTCGCTGATAAATTCCAGATTTACCGCAACAAAGCATTCCGTTGCAAAAACGTTCCGTGATTTTGCCATAACTCTCCCTTGCAAGGTGATGAAATTTATATTTTAAATAAGTCAAAATTTAAAAGATTCGAGGATAAGGCCTTAACAGATCGTTTAAAACGGACTTAAATATAACATATGCGTTAACCGACATGTAATCACGGCGACACGTGGACGGTCAGTGGAAAGGAGACGATCGACGCAGACCAAATGGAAACGTCGATGCGAGACCGCTCGCGAGTCAAAAGCCTGATGGCAATCACGCTTCATTGTGAACAAATGTAATTTAATAACGTGACAACTGGCCACCACAACAGCATAATTCGTCAGTGGGGGGATTACGGGACGAAAAGGAAGGCGAAGGAAGGAAAGACAAAACCGAGAGTGAGCGAAGGGAGAAGGAAGGGGAGGAAACCCATAAAAGGCGCGCGAAGGGGAAAGGGCAAAGGGGAAGTCTCGCGATATTTCTGCAAGATGTTGCATCAGTCTCCCGACATTTCTTCTTCCTTTTGTTCTACGCGAATTCGTCAAGGACGCGGCACCGAGCGACGCGACGAGAGCGAAATTCGCTCGCCAAACTCTGCGACAAAGGCACGAAGTGGTTTATTGATGAATTGATATTAATATTATCCCCTCGTGCGAATCGAGCGTTCGCGATGACATTGTTTCTTAATTATGTACGTGTAATTCTTTAAGAAATAAAGCAACGAAGTAAAGAGACTGAGGCGAGCAGGTAGAAGTACAAAAAGTATTCGATTGAAAATCAAAGTAACCAAAATGTGATATGAACACGTTTCTGTCCTTACTTTAAATTATATTTTCAATATAAAAATATAGGAGAATTTCTCTAACAGAATTTAAAATATAAAAATGCAATAAAATTCATACTTAATACACAAATTATAATTTAGAATTATCGTTAAAGCAAGCATTAATATATTTTTTTGTAAAAATCAAATAAAGTTACGACGAGAAAATTATGAAAATTATCACATTTTTGTCGTTTTCAACTCGCCAATAAAACTACGAATTTATGTAACAATGTTCATTTTCACGAATATCGTTAGAAGAAACAGTTTACCAATCGACCGCAAATTTTCTCCCTTAATTTTGTAAAATAGATTCGACCACAAATTTTCTTCCTTATTTTCTATTTTTCCGGAATAGGTTGATAAAACTAGCGCGTTTCTTTTGCGTTCGTTAAATGCTGATAAAGTGATGAAATCATTGCAATCAGTCTGATTGAATCTAGCTAGGGGACGACTATAATGGCCTCTCTTTATCAAGTTTTCACATTAAAGTTACATAGCGACATAAATATTTCAAAATGAACGACATGGGACACGCGTGGCACGCGTAATCATACGCATGATTCTTAATTAGATTGACTTTGGTGGTCACTCATGCGAATCGTAATGGGTTCATATATCACACCTGCTGCAGGCAATGTATTGAGCTTGTTGAAAACTAAATATTTGATTAAGTCCTCGAGATGTCCTTTTCAATCTTGTTCTTGACGGAGGAAATAATCGTGTACACGCGTCGCAAATGAATACCAACCTGATTGCACGATAATTACCACGACTATTCGCGTTGATTGTTTCAGGTATTCTCGCTTTCATAAATTGCTGGGACGTCAAATGGGCGACGAGGGTGCAGGACGTCTTCACGTATGCGAAACTACTCGCGCTTTTCATAATAATCTTCACTGGAGCGTATCAGCTCTTCACCGGTAAGTTTGTTATCGCAATTATATTGGCAAGATCAAGTTTCGCGCGCGATAACTCGTAAAACAAATGTATGAGTTTGGAAAAAAATAACAAGAATAGGAAATGAAGAATATAAAGAGATTATTATATTCAAAAATATTAATTTGTTAAAATGACGCGCAAAAGTAACAAATGTGAGCAATGCAAAATGTTAATCCAATCCAAAGAGATAGCTGCGCTATCTGTTTTTAAGAAAATATTGCAAGCAGTAATATTCACAATATAGAATGCTAATATTTTCGTATCGCGAAGTAAGTATTCTCACGAAGGCGGGATTAAACACTTTCTATCTAATATCTCCAAAGTAGTACGCGCGATAAATTATAATATAGTACAAAGCAGATAGGCTAGAGCACGTTACGAGGTGAAAGGTCAACGACATAGCTCGATCGCGTGCAGTTTGCAGCGATTTGCAACGATCTCGAGTGATGCTAATCGCCTCGTAATCGGCGTTCTCCGTTTTTCGTGCATCATAAACTTTTCTCCAACCGCACGAACGATTTCACGGAACATCCAGGCACCGAAGTTCCCGTATATATACCTTCGACAAATCGAAAGAATTGATCTTGCGTCAGACAGACTTTCTCTTCGCGGATGAATTGTCTGGTCGATCGATAGTTCCAACAGTTTTTCGACACGCCGATCGTATCTCATCCTTTCGTTCTTGCCAGCGTCGAAGATATAAAATCACGAGAGGCATAAAAAATTAATTGGATAGACACGACTTGTTCTACGATGACGAGGATATGAGATCCCGTTAAAGAAAATTTCTTGGCAAGCACACCGACAACTGATTATCAAGAACGAATTCACTCTCAGATCGATCGAAAAAGCGAAATTTTGATAAACGTCCATATGAGATTTTGGACGAGAAATCCAACGGAAGTAGGACGTTTTTTTCAGCATCGTACTCTTGCCGGACGAGACAATTTACCCAATCAAAAAGGTGCGCAGGCGACGCGATGTAGTCGGTGTGCGTGCAAGGAATCGCTTAAATTGGACTATTCAGAGAACCAAATAGTTCCTTGACCGTGGTGTGCAACGATCGTTTCAATTCTGACGAAACTTTTCTTCGATCTTGCACGCCACGAAACTTCGTGCTCGCCTTTCGTCAATGATTCCGTTCAAAACCTCCTTCCATATGAAAGGGCTAATTAATAAGGAGACTAATTAAAATATTCTAATTAAACATTGAAATGTTAGAACTTGTTACTAAGACGTATGTAAATGATATCATTTTGTAGTCACGCGTTTCACGTATGCAAATAAATCAAAAGGAAATGTTACAAATTGGATTGTTAATTATACATTATATATGAAATTGTACATTAATTACATTGAACATTAATAATATTACAAATTAATTACTCTCTTTCAATAAAACGATAATTTTTTTACACTGATGGATGTCTTCATATTTTATTTTCTCAGGACACACGCAGTATTTCACGTTTGACAACAGCAACACGGAAGTCACGTCTATAGCCCTCAGTTTTTATTCAGGCCTGTTCGCTTACAACGGCTGGAACTACTTGAACTTCATAATTGAAGAACTGAAGGACCCCGTTAGGTGAGAACTAAAAGCCTGTCGCGCAATAAATTAAACCCGATTCAGAGGAAGTTCATAATTGAAAGTTAATTCGGCGACAATGGTCGCTGCAGAATTCGTTTTACTTCCGCACGCTTATAACCGTGCATTTATTTAGGAATCTACCGAAGGCCATCGGCATCTCGTGCGCACTCGTTACGATCGTCTACGTCCTTACGAACATGGCTTTTTACACGACCCTCAGCCCCGTCGAAGTGCTCGGTAGCGAAGCCGTGGCAGTGGTAAATAACAGCAAATATAATACTTAAAAGCGAAGTCTTTTAAAAGTCTTGAAAGAAATATGGATTAAAAAATGCAAAAGTAAAACTAAATTTTATCTTAACATAATTAAATAATTTTCATCTATATATTCCGATTACTATAAATATTCATATTTATTAGTCTACTATATTTATTTTAGTCTAAATATTCTCCGAGTAATATTTGTGGATTGCTTGTATGTATGGACTGATAATTTTCTAAAATAATTCCTTCATCGTTCAAAGCTACTAAACTGCGTTTATTGTTCGCGTGCATGTAATTACTTCACTGTTGAAAGCTCCTAAACTGTCTTTATGATCTGCAGACATACGCAAATAGATTGTTCGGCGTGATGGCGTGGACGATACCGGTTTTCGTGGCTCTATCTACATTCGGCGCGGTTAACGGCATTCTACTCACGTCCTCGCGGCTCTTCTACGCGGGTGCCTGCGAGGGTCAGATGCCAGAGATACTGACGATGATCCAAATTAACAGGTTGACACCTGCGCCCGCCGTAATTTGCATGGTAAACCGCTCTTCCCTCTAATTTGTAGGCTTATCTTACCGCGAAGTACAAATCAGTTGAACACCACGATATTGATTGGCGACATATCAATACATTACGTAAAATGCGTTTCCGATCAATAGCATAGTAACTTTTTGCTAGCAACGTAGATTAAAACCGTATGAATTTTGTTGGCGGGTAAGATTCTTTTTGAAGAATTAATTTCTGAAACGTTAAAAT